CTAAAGATAAAACCCCCTGTCAGAATGTTGACAAGTACTGTTAAGTATTTTTTAAACTTTGAATAATTTCTTTCCTTTCTACAACTGTACTACATAAGCAGAAGTTTCACTTGGTTTCATGGCACCATAAACAGTGTTCAGCAGCAGTTCTGTTTTAATCCAGTGAACTAAATGGGCATTTTCTTCTCTGAGCACTCAGCATGTCATTGCTGATGATGTGTGAGGTTCTCCTGTACCAGATATAGTCCTTATGTCTGAAGCCCTGGTGCATTCATAATGCTGAGCAGCATTTATGGGTTACTAATTCATAGTGGACACATTCTCCTCTCTCTCCTTAATTAAAATCTGCTGTTTGGTACAGTGACACATGGTGACAGAGTGTAAATGACTTCATTAATGTGCTTTGTTTCTCTTGCCCTTGTTTTCCTTCAAGGCCAAAGAGTGCGACATGAGCAGGTTACCAGTTATTCTGACAAATAGGGGGACGCCTCCTGTCCAAACTATTTTGCAGAAATACTGGATAATTTTAAATGTCAAACTACTGAATGAGGTAAAGGGCTGTCCTTCCTATCAGGGTTTTCCTCTGAGGGGCAGGATGTGAGAATCATCTGGCACACATTGCATCCAAGTTTACTAGCCTGCAAATAAAGTAAGTCAGGAAAGGCTTCTTTTACAATGCCACAAAGGGATTAGAGGTGGTTGCAAAATTGTTTTTTTTTTTAAATTGTAAAGTTTTGAACCTTTTCTGTCTTTCTTGGGGGTACTGCTTGCTTTCCTGTACACTCTGCTTATTTCATGTGCCTCCATATGAAATAAGCTCTTCAGTGTGAGAATTGCTTTCTACTACAGATATGTACCAAGCACTTAAGGAACCTGGCTAGCAATGATTGGCAGCCTTACAATCTAAAAACATTCCCACTTTCTTCCTCTTCAAGAGGTCACAGAATGGTTTGGGTTGTAAGGAACCCTAAAGTTCAGCTAGTTCTAATGCTCCTGCCATGGACAGGGCCACATTCCACTAGACCAGGTTGTTCAAATCCCCATCCAACCATTGAAGTATGGAATCACACAGAAACACAGAACAGGCAAAGTTGTAAGGGACCACAGTGGTTATCTGGTCCAATCTCTCTGCTCAAGCAGGGTAATCCTAGAGCACATAGCACAGGATGGATAGACATTGTGATGTCACTTTAATTACATTGCACTTCATTTTGTTTCCTGTACATTTTGTTTCAATTGACATATCAGAAGCAGAGTTTTTGGTTTTCTTTCTACTTGTTGTGGAAACCACCATGTGCATACTCTTATACTACATTTGGGACTGTATCCTGGGACTCCAGGGAGTAGGAATTATATTTCTTTTTCCATGATGGTCAGAGCTTCAACAGTAATTAAAATAAATACTTTCATTGTGGATAAGCCATTTATGGAAATGTGATCTCATTGGGCATTTGCAAGATAATGCAAGCCAATTAAAAAATCCTGGAAGCTGTGTGACTTTGAAACTGTCTCTACAGTCATATAAGTTCCTTCTTCAAAAAAAAAAAAAAAAGAAACAAAATGTGGTTTAGAATCCATACCAATCAGTAAAAGCTGGTTTTCAATTTTGTTTTTTACTGGAATTGCTTTCTAGTTATTAGGAACTGCTTTGTAGTTTTGTTTTTGCTTTCCATACCAGTGGTTGCAAAAACAACAGGTTATTGCCCAAGAAAGCCTTAATCTTTCTTTTCTTTAATTTTTTTAAATACAGATTGTTTGAGTTAGTATCATGAGTAGTTAAGCAGTCTGTGGGGGTATCCTGTTTGGAGACTCAGTGTTTTCAGTGGATTGGAATTATTAAGTTTGGTTTTGTTTGGTTGTTTTTAGTTCCCTTTTTCATCCAGTAACTTAAAAGAGAAGCCTGCTGTCTTCCTGTTTGTTCCACATAAAAAGGAAAGCGTGCAAGTTAAGTGTTTGGATCATTGCCATGACTGTAAATGAGTCCTGCAGCAGTGCTGATGGAAATCATAGCTGGGAGCAGTCTTGTGTATTGGTCAGAGACATGTTTCAGAACTTACAAATGATTTGTGGTAGCAGTGGAGTAAGCCAAGAACATACTGGCTGATTGCTTGTGCTTCTGTCATTTGGTTGCATCAGGTTGGATGCCCTTTCTCTAGCTAGTGAGTTCCTAGGTCTCATTTTTTACAAAGAATAGCAGTCAAAACTTAGCAGTCTTTTTGCTGAAATTCTCTTTTGCTTCATAGCAAAGTTTTGATCATCACTTCCTCACTGAGCTTGATCTCTGATGTTTCTATCATTCACATGTTACATGCAGGTTTTTGGCATTTGTGACAGAAAGGAATATATATATATGTATATGTATATATGTATATTTGTGTGTGTATATACATATGCACTAACTTTTCACAATTCAGCTCTATAAAAGATGGAAATTTAAAAAAAAACTAAAAACAACAACAAAAAGTATAAATGCACAAAAAAAAAGGAGGGAAGAAAGAGGTTTTGAAGGGCAAAGGCTTAAAAGATCGCCTGAACTGATGTGTCCTTCCATAAATTGTAGTGTATTGGTACCCAGGTTTTGATCTGTGGCAAACATTAGATAGTAACACATACTACAAAGCCAAGATGGGACAAGTGAGCAGAAAATCACATGAAGTAAATAAGGGTTTACAAGTAGGGAAAATCAGGACACACAAACCACTGAATAGGATTAGTCATGGATGTCCATCGTGGTTCTTAGTGTGATAAGAAGAGATTTGTCAGTGGGAAGTAACACTTGTCTCTGTGTGTTTAGAAGCTGAGTTCTACACCTGTGTCTTACACAGCAGTATCTGGAGGATACAAATCAGTTTTTCCTTGAGTACTGAATATATATTTTTAGCCAGCTGCTGAGCTCTCACAGCTATTAGAAGTGTCAATACAATTTCAGTGTAATTAATAGCTGAGAAAGTGAGGCCCCACAGCTGACTGTGAGGTTGGGCAGTAGTTAAGAATCTAGTTAGTGCTAAACAAAATTTTTTAGCTTCAAAGCTTTACATTTTTCACATATGGACCGAGCAGCAGATGGAAATAACAGCCCTTATAACTTATGTTATTATTAGCCAAATGAGATTGACAGTTTTTATAATTGACTGTTTACCTTTCTGTTGTTCTATAGAATTTGCTCTGGGGACAGGAAGAAAGGTACCACAATTCATTTTCACTGGCACTTGTGCATGTGCTAGTAAATGTTATGGATTACAGAGAAATTTGTGGAGTTTTCTTCCTGTATATACAAAGAAATACAAAGAAATACTTTGTATTTCTTCCTGTCAAGAAATACAAAGTACAGCATTCTTAATTATTTGTAGTTAGAATTAGATTGCTTTCTCTGGCAAGTTCAAGTGCTATGTAGCTTGTATCTCTCCTTGTAATATTGAGGTGGGCTGTATAACACTTTTAAGAAATTCCATTTTGTCCATTTCAAATAAAAGAGAAACCATGAAGAAGAGATTTGGCTCAGAAACTTTGCTCCCAAGATAAATGCTAAATATCTAAAAAAGAGTTTCTAGTGCAGGACTATTGTAATTCATAAGAGTAGTGTGCCCTTTTCGGTTGTAAATACCTCTAGTATTTATCCACATTATTCAGCTTCTATTTATGAAGGACTGAGAGTCAAATCAAGATATCATATACAGAAAACTGTAAAATTGCCATTACACAATGGTTTACTTGGAACACTTTTTGTAGTAAAATCACCTTCTATAAGAAGAGGATCAAGCTCCTTATTGGCATTTTATTTACAAAACAAAAATGCAAACAAGCAAACAGAAAACCCGACAACCTTAGAGTAAGGTGTGACATTCTGTAGTGAAATACAGGTTTTCTGCTAAGAAAAACACTTGTAAAGGTGCAGTGCATTTCAGTGTATAATAACTTTTCAGTATGACTCTCAAAATGCTAAACAGCTTACTTATGTCCTCCTTCAGGAAAATGTCACACTCACCTGTGGACAGACTCTTCTGTACTTTGCTTCTAGTTAACAGCCATTAATGTTGACTTATCTGATGCCCCAAACTTCCTTGTGAAGCAGAGAACAGCAGTTCTGAGTAGGCCTGAGAAGCTGTAGGGACCAATACATTAATGTTAATGTGATTTGATATTTGCTGCTACACTTATCCCAAGAAACTTACACTATTTCAGAACAAGCCAAACATAAATTCTGGTGCTGGAGGGGTTTTATGCTTTGAAGGAGAGAGAACAGTAGCTGAGATTCTGTCTTCTGTGGGGCAGGAGAGATTGGAAAGGAAGACAGGAGAGAGGGAAGAAATCTCCAGACACAAAAGGCATCAGACAACACAGCATCTCTCGCTGCATTGCCTCACTCACCCATTTATCCTGGTGGTTCACATCACATTCTTACTCCCCTTCTCTTCCTAGCAAGATGTTGAATTGGTCTTTTAGTGTCTTATTCTTCCCGCTGAATTCAGGACAGAAAAAGCCTCCCTTCATGAACTGGGGCTTAGCTACTCATTATCTGGTGACTATAATACACTTAGTGCAAATATCCTGTGCTGGGAATTCCTCAGGCAGTAATTAATGGATTTTTTCACATAATACTTATCTGTCTGTGCCACTTAAGTAATAACTTGCATTGTATTTTTCTTTTCTCTTTTGTTATACTGATAGAAGTGAATGGAAGGACTGATTATAAATCATGCAAAGCTTGTGGTTAAAATATGAATAGGGGTCCAAGGCCAGAGTTGATCACTGGATTGTCTTCCTTTTGGTGGTCATATGTAGGAGACAGCAATAAGTAATCCATTGGGTGGTGCCTCTGGGGCCAACAGATGCAGCTTCTCAGGAGGATCTCCTCTATCCCAATAACACATGGTGCTAAGAAGCTTCTGATGCTGTTTCTCCAAGTTGGGAGGAGTTTTGGCTAGGAGCACAAGGGTGGGAAGGAGAGTCAATAATGGCTGAAACTTAATTTTTTTTCATTTCCTCTCTTTTGATGCAAGGTCTTGCTCTGTATAACATATACCTCCACCTTTGAGCTGAATGGGAGTTCAGTGTTGAAGATTGCTGAGGTAAGTGCCTCTGTTATACCACTGCTTGTGTCACTTGAACTTTCCCTACTACCTTGAGTGTGCCTTCCATGTGTAGCCTGAAACTGAACCAGTCTAAAACAAGTCTACCATCATTAGGACTGGTATTACCTTATGTGTAGTGTGAAGAAATAGTTGCAAGTTGGGCACGTTTGGGCTTGCATGGGAAGGCAGTCTTGGAAGTTGACTGATAATTGTTTATTACAACATTACACATTTGCTACTTCTCATATTTATTTTGCTTTTGCAATAGAAAAATTTTCTTGAGTTCTTCATGAAACAGCACTGCACTGATTTCCTACTGGCTGCAACTCTAACACTAATGGAGTTTCCTGAAGAGAAGTTTATAAGCCATAGCATGCCATGTTAGCATAAGTACCTCACTGTTCCTTGTGTGTATCTCTGTCCTGACACATCCAAGTAAAATATTTATAATGCCCCTTGATCCATTGGGTTCGTAGTCACTCTACTCCCTTTATTCCATTAGATTTTAGTATTAATTAAATTGTAAAGGAGCTTTGGTTGTAGAAAAACATACTTGCAGGCATATTACCTGAGCCTCTGTAGGTGAGTGATATTTTTAGTAGTGTGTTGCAAGCTATGGGCTGTTTGTTCAGCTTAGAGAAAATGTACAGGAGCACTTAATCCTCCTGTGCAAACCACACTGCTGTGTGCAGAATCTGTTATAAAAGTACATTGTTAACGTGCTATGGGCAGAGCTAGTGTCCATGAAGGAATGTAAATGTTACCTACATGTCCTGCACTCCCAAGTGTCTGTAGGCATCTAGAGATGTGTTACTTCTCAGTTTTTGTTATTTGGAGTGGAGTTTTTTTGTAAAAACAAAAATCCCATGTGAAAATAGCTTACTTTAGCTGGAAGTTACAGTATGTTCTGAGTTCAAGAATAAAACTGACCTTGCCTTATCTTATCAGAAGCTGAGAAAGGAGTTGTAGGGATAACAGGAAACCAAAGAAAATTAGTTCCATTTTGCAGAAGAAAAAAGGGCTTTAAAAGGCAAGGATACAACATAAATAGTTCATGTATATAACATATACCAGATGAAAAAGATAGTAATCATTCTAGATTAGCACAGCTTAGATTTTGGTTTCTCTTGTGCTAGGTGAGACCATAAGGTGTGGCTATTTTTGGAGGTCTTTGTAAGCCCCATCTGTAGATGCTGCAGCAGGGATGAATTGAATTGCTACTTAAACAATTGCTACTTAACAAGCCACAGTTTTTAAATTCCTACTAAACCCTCTTTATGTCAGTGTCACACACTGGAAAAAAATACAGATAATTTCCCCTGCTGCAGTTTTTCTCACATTTCTCACAGACTTCCTAACATGCAAGGCAAAAGCTGATGAATTCAGCTTAGTGCATCTCTTGGCTGTAGGTAAAGAGCTTGAGACTAAACAAAGTGCTTGCTGGCAAAAGCATTTAATAACTCTGAGCCCTTCAGTTTTCAGTCTTTAAGAGCTCTACCTGAGACTGGGGGGAAATGGTCAATCAGTGATGGTCCGTGTGCTATAAACTGTAGAAATAATCAGAAATAATATTTTCTGTTCTCTCTGTAAAGAGGGTTGTTATTCATCAAAAGCATTCTGAAAATTGGCAGTTGTCTTTCACAGATTGATGTGAAACTCTGCTAGTTTTGGTAGTTGCATTTCAGTTTATTCTCAGAAGGCCAATCTGGTTTTTAAAAAGCTTTGCTAGTGTACTGATACAAATTAGGACAATGCTAGTTCTTTTCTTTTATGGTGAACAAGACTCTAATGCAAGATGAGATGTGTCAGCAAAGCAAGCAAAACTCATTTCCTTCAATGAATTGGAACAATACAGAGTGTGCTTGCCTCTATTTGGAGTGTTTAGATTTACAGCTATTTTCTCCACACTTCTTGAGAAAATACTGCCTCAGGTTTTCTTAAATAGCCTAAGTCTCTCTAAATAGCAAATCCTACCCGGCACATACATGTTTCCACAAGTTCCTCCACATGCTTTAGGTAAGGCAAAGATTTTAATAGCTGGCATCACTATGCCTTTGTATCTGAATTAGCCAACACATAAGCAGTAGGAAACAGAAAATAATATCTCAGTTCAGCATTTGGTTAACCTTCTGACTTGCTCTAAGGGAAAGGTGGCAAAGAGGAGCTTTCTGTTCCAGTGCCCATATTATTTAACGTTTCTTTCCAAATCAGTCCCTTAGTTTTCCTAGCCTGCACTCTGTAGCTAGTAGAACCACTCCAGGATTGGAAAGGTGCTGCCTTCATTACTAGTGGAACACCTGAGGACTGTCTCTGACAAACAAAGCTACAGTCTGACCATTTTGCACTGTCTGATCATTTGCAATTCATGTGTACAAAACAATGGCACTCAAAATCATTCTGAACCTTATCAGCTTCAAATTAAGAAAGCATCCAATATTAAGACTACTATAATTTCTGCCCCAAGTATTAATAATATTGAAAAGAGATTAGTAGTATGAAAAATGGATTAAATCTTGTTCTGTGCACCTTCCCATGCTTGCCTAGACACCTGCAGGAAAATGTAGTTGATGCTGTTTCATGGTTTTTTGTGTGTGTTTGTTGTTCCAGTGTGCCTTCTGGAGGTTTATTTTGTGTAACTGTGTTGTGTTCCATTAGCTAACCCTTCTGTGTTTTGCTCTTAGTTGTGTTTTGCATGCCATAGAGCTGGAAGTCCCCGAATGCATGAAATGATCAAAATGTCCATTGCACACCTCTTTGGAGCCCTGAGCTCTTGCATTTTCACTGCTGCTTCTTCATCAGTGGCTTTTCAAAAGGTACCTTGCCCAGCCATTTAGAACACAGGCCTTCTGTAAGATTGTAACTCAAGTATTGTTTGCTTATTAGCTCGCATGGGGAGGGGAGAGAAGGAGGAGATACCAACCATGCTCTTTTCAGAAAGTCAGCCTACCTCTAAGAATAGTACTTCATTAATCAATTCAGGTACTCTAGAAGAAGTCTTACAGCTCAAAAAGAATGATCTCAGCAGCACTGGAATGGTTTTGCCTCTGTGAAGGGCTGTATGTGGTTAACAAGCTTTTAGGGTTATTTTGTCCACTGAGGTTCAAGGGATAGCTGAATGATGAGCAGAATTGGTCCAGGCCAACTTACAAGAACATCTTCAACACTGACCTATTGACAGCTTGGTTTCATTTCAATAGGAGTTAGAAACAATCAAGAGTCTTGTTTGTGTGCCTATGTCAATACTGATCAGAGTCTGTAATCAGATCACTTTAATTTTTCCTTCTTAAAAACTCATCCTCATTAGGGAACTATAAAAGTGACTTTACATCATATAATATCCTTCTCATTCAAAAATGTACACCAGATGCAGTTTTGTGTACTCCTTATGCATATAGTTCATACTACACATTTATATTTTTAAGAATTAATATTTTAAATAATTTTTCACCTCTAGTTCCATTTATATTTACAGTTCTTACTTGCTATATATCTAAATAATGGCAGAATAAAACTGTTAAAACTGAAAAATATATAAGTATGTGAACAGTCATTTACTTTTTGTTTTGCTTGTTACGATTTGGAAGATTCTTGTGGTCATTGTGAACAATAAAGCTTAGTGCAGGACAAAGGACCAAAACTGCTTCTTCAAGAAGACTATATTGTACAGTTCTGTCACAAATCTGCTCAGCTCCATCAAAATTTTTATCTACTTAGTAGTTACTGTGCAATGTGGTTGCACTGTCTACTCCAGTTACTGAAGGTCTTACAGAGACCCAGCACCTCCCACAAAATACCTGATGAAGGACAGAAACTGCACTTTGCAGTGTGCTGTCCCCAGGATCCTAGCTGTGTAACACTTTAGCAGCCTCTTGTGCAGGATCACCTGGGGCAAAAGTCAAGCATGACTCTGGGCACAGCACATTGCCAGAAACCTGTCAGCAGCTGGGCTTGGACTTGGGAACTGGATGATCCATCAGCGTTCTTCTATTGCTGCGTTGGTTCCCATGGGATCTCTGAGAAGAGGAGCCCTCTGCTGGATTGCCAGTTATTAAAAGGCAGTTGTTTGTGCTATTTATGGTAAAATGCTGCTGTATTTTCTGTGTTAAGAAAGGCCTTAAAAGTTTTCACATGTGATACAGTACGTAACGATTATCGTAGAATAAGTGGCAAATACCTTTACACCAGAAGCAACAAGCTTGAATTGAAGGATATTCACAGGATATTGCAGACATAGTCTTGCAGCAAGGTAGTTACAATAAGTATCAAGATATGAATAATCAAAGCCTCATTCAATGAGCTCTGTACAAAGTGAGACAAGTACCAAAATCACTTGGATTTGACAGGAGACTTTGCCAGTTTTGCCCTGCCATTCCTGCAGCTGTGTGACTGATGAATTACTTGGCTTTCCAACCAAGACTGCTAAAAACTTCTAATGTGCTAAATAGTAAGGAAGGCTGACTATCTGCATGTGAGAGACCTTGGTATCCTCCTAAACTGTGTTCCTGGTAAGGGGGAGTTGATCTCTTTGTGCTGCTGTCTTGTTTCCTCATCAGGTTTGCATTGAGACATATGTATCTAGCTGTCACCAGCGGAGCATTAACACCGCTGTGCGGGCAACCCTCAGCCAAATGTTGAGTGACTTGACTTTACAGTTACGACAAAAGCAAGAAAACATGGTGAGCCTTCTGGCATCAACAAATGGTTCCATGTCCATGGTTGCATACCATTTTGTTCTCATTCATCTGAATGCCTTATGGCTTTTATTTGACACTTCCTCAGTTAATCCTGTTTAAAAGTTTTTTGAGCTCTGACTATGCCTGCCTAAGAGCTTTCACATTGTCAACTTTAGTTGGCTGGTTTGTTTTTTTTTCTTTGCATTAAATAAAAGACACTTTGTTCTGATGTCAGGCTGCCTCAGCTTTTTCCATTCTTTTATTTTGTTTTCTTGTTTTTCTAAGGTGCATTGAAATCCTTCTGCCAAAAATTTTTGCATGACAAATATTTACATAGTAAAAAAACAGATTTTCAACCAAGGAAAGTGTAATTGAGATTTTTCTTCTACTTTTTTTAATAGAAGGTAGTTTTAACTTATGATTTTTTTTTCTTTGTTATAAAAAAATTTTTTTTAAATTTATTTCATTATTAAAACCCATGAGAGCTGTTTGAATGACATCCCAGCACATTTTCAACTGTAGATGTTCTGGGTACTTGTGGAATTACACTGACGTCTTACGTTGTTTGTACTGTTTTGTATAATACCATATTGTCAAAGAAGCATTATTTGTAAAAGTCAGTTTCTATTTATTAGGAAAATTTAAGGACTCTAGTTGTACAGCTTGTTTTCCTTGCATCTGTTTTGGGTTAAGATGATCACTTCTATTTTGGATTAGTAGACTAGATTGTTTTTGTCCTGCTGAGCAGCTGCAAAAATAATAATGCAGTTTAAGTAAACTTGTCTTCTGTTGGTGCTAAGTAAGTTCATTTTACTAACTAAAGCATTTACTAAAAAACCCCAAACAAACAGAAACATTTTGGGTCTACAAATTCAATTTTGTTAGTTCTTTTCTTAGCTGCAGAGTATATAAAAGCATATGAGAAGTGTATTTAGTTCCTGACATTTTGTTATTGATGCTTGAGAGTATTTGGCTTGACCCTGTTGTGCATGATAGGAAGAATCCTATACCACAGCTGAACCAAGTGATGTATGAGGTCATTTCCATTTCCTCACTGCCATTAATTTTGTTGGTATTGTAATATTAACACTGTCGATGTTCTAAACTCTGTAATACTCAATTGATTTTGGTTTCTAAGTAGTTTGTGAAGTCTAAACTTTGCTTTTCTCTCGGTTATTTTCAATGTAATTTATATGCCTAATTATTACTGAGTTGTTCTAGGTTTAGGAAATCCCTTAAGGACTTACAAAATTTTCACCTAAATGAGATGCAATTTCCTTTAATCTAAATAACTGTTAAAACAGATATTAAGGAATTTTTAAAACTATTTTGCAAAAAGTTCAGTTAAAAACCCTAACAAAAAACCCCAAACAGATAGAGGACAATTTAAGAACTGAATTTAAGAAAGAATTGAATTTAAGAAACTTCTGCTGTTAAAGTATTGCTTCTATAATGTTCTTCTGTCCCTTGTACCAATTACACCACCTTTGTCTTTCCTCAACAGATAGTTGAAAACCCTGACAACTTGCAGAAATTCAAGAGTCAAGGTATTTGTAAAACTTTTTTAGTGACTCCTTCCAATCCAGCTTTTTTATTCCTAACTTTCTTTTTATCACCACAGTGCTGTTTGATGTCATGGGAGTTGCACCCTCAGGATTTTGTAACTTCTCTATAGTTTGGTGCTTTCTTGGTTACCTGTGGTAAGAACTGAGATAGCCCTGTCAGCTCCTGATATTTCCATTTGTGTCTTCATTTGGATCATGGTAACAGCATTGCGCTCAACATAGTAATAAATTATTGTTTCAAGGTGCTAACAGGTGTAATTAAGGAGTTTCAGTGGTCTGAAAAAAGTTTTAGTAAGTGCCTTTACTTCCTGAAATGAAATAGATTTGCAGAGTAGAATGTGGAATCTGAAAACAATCGTTACTCTATTTCAGGCCAAAGACATTGTTTATATAATGACTACTTGCCAGGTGATTATTTTACAAGAGAATGTTTTTCTGTTCCCTTTGTGGCTTAACTTTCAGCATCTTCTAGTAGGAAAAATAGTCTCTGGTTTTGACCTTCACTCAGGATTTTGGTAGAACTTGTGTGAATGGAGGCTAAAATCTTTGAAGAGCCACAAGCATTCTTTGATAAGATCAGAAGTTGGTCAGACATCAGAAAATGTGTAAGCGAGAGAAACTGCAGGGAGAGATACTGCAGAAATTGGCTGCCATGTAGAAAACTGGGGCCAGTCCTTTTTATTATTTAATTATATACTTATTTTATTATCTGAATTTAATTTCAGCTAACCTTCTGTAAATGCATGTAAGCAATTAGTGCTCTCTCTGGGTTTCATACTGCTGCTTCTGCATGTTGTGGCGATCACTTTCCTATCTAGCACTTTTCCTACTCCATCTTATCTATGAATTTGGGTAGCCCTGCTCCTTGTTTAGAAGCTCTGACTAGCTCTGAGAACCCATGCAGTTAATTGATGTTGTTTTCCAGCTGTTCATATGTAATGCCTCTGATATTTGTCCTTTTTGGAGGTGCTTCAACTGAGTCTCTTTGTGATGATGTTGTATCTGTCCTCACTGTACTCTGTGAGAAGCTCCAGGCTGTCATAAAGTGAGTTATTTAAGTTTATAATTTTATTTATTACCTGGAGGTTGAGAGTTTCACTGATGCATGTGATTGTGCTGTTGAAGTTCTGGAATTATGGAGCAAAGCTGTGCTTAAATGAGGTGTTTGCTAGAGAAAGTATTGTTCATGATGCATTAATTTAATCCTTGCTTGAAATGAGGAGCTAATTAGCCTTCTTCGTGCATTGTTCAGCTTTACAGAGCTTCCAGTAAATCTAATCTGTAGGTAACTTCCATACAACAGCAAAATACTAATACAAAATACTAATAATACTAATTTCTTTTCTAGCTGGAAGAACCATCATAGAGAGAATAACAATTACAAGAGCCATGGAGAGACCTAACAGATATTATACTCAGAATTAATAAATCGGTCCTTCTTAGACAGGCTTTATCCAATTGCAGTAATTTGTGTTATCAAAGAATTCCTCCGATTTAGGAATATCATACACTCTACCTACTTGAAAATGTATGATCTTAACTTCTAAAATGTGGTTGTTATGGACAGGAAGTATGTTATATGCTGTGCAATTTTCAGAAACTACCAGAGGCAAAGATAGCACAGGCATCTATGTGCAGTTCTTTTGCAGACTTTCTTCCCATAAGTCTCTCTAATAACAGCAGGATTACAGAGGAATGCCTTACTTAGCATTATTTAATCAGTGTCAGCATCTGGGAAAATAAAATCAAGAGTGCAGAGATGCCCTGTGCATTCTCATGCAAGTGTCAACTCTAAGGGGATGATCATCTGCATTAAGACACATTGTAAGAAAAGCTGTTGGGAAAGAAGGCATCTGTACCTGGAATGCATGTATCTTTCCAGATAGGTGTAGGCTGTTGTGAGGAAAAATCTATCACCTTTAAAATATATAAGAGGCCAGCAGTTTTCAACCCTCTATACCACAGAGTTAAAAATCCAGCTTTGAGCCTCAGGATTCAGGGTTTTCTCTATGGCATGTGAAACAGGTATTGTTGTACTTGGATACAAATTCATGTATGTGAACATGAAAAGGAACTCAGGCAGTGACAGAAAACCAGATGTTTCTCACTCCTTAATTTCAATTCAGATAAATCCATTCTTTACAGCTTTCTTGACCTACAGTCATATCAGAAAGTGCGTTCCTCCAGCTCTCATCTCTGACCGAAAGAGAGTTATTAAATCCTGGTTTTCTTAGGAGTGAAAACCATATTGTGGGTACACTTGCCATGGAGTGCTCCTTTAGTAAGGTGACCTCAGCCTTGCTTGTCTCCTGGATCCCACAGCTGATGTTATGAGTAGGGGCAGGCACGGTGCATGTTACAAGTGTACCAGTTCCAGTTGTCCACAGGTTCTTTAATATTCCTTCTCATGAAGCTTTCTTTGAGTTTATGGTTCTGACAGAGTTACTGGTAAGGCCCTGAAAGGTAGCCGTGTTACTGTGTGACTTTCTGCTTGGAGATATTAACTTTTGACCGTTGTGGCTGTCACCAAGAAGAAAAAATAACCAGAACAGAATAGCCTAAACATGCTTCAGATTGCCTGAAGAAACTATCCAATAGTCCAAAATGTTCTATTTTCTCCTTTTCCTCTGTTTAAGATTCCTTCTCAAGATTTTAGATTGAATTTGAGTAGTTATTTGGGTTTTATTCTTCCTATTTTTTCACCTTTTTTTTTTAATGCAGTAGATCACTGCATGCAATCAGTGCAAAATAAGTGGGATGATGCAGGTGATCACGCCATTGTAAATTGACAGAAAGAAGTAAAATAAATCACTGCTGTAAATTATGGTATAATTTTCAAGTGAACTAATGTGGTTATTTTAGAAAATTAAGTAGTCTGTTTTAATATGATGTGAATGGCATCTTTTCTTTGCCAGTGACAATCGTCAACTTCAGCTTCTTTACTTGGAGTGTATCCTCTCCATGCTGAACAGCTCCTCCCCCAGCATGCACCAGCACAAAGGATTCACTGATCTAATATGGTGAGTACATCTGAAGACTAATGCAAATACTCAGTTTGTAAATGTAAAAGGACCCATTCCTCCCAGCCTTGCAAAAAAACCTGTAAAAAGTCTCCAGGTGTGAGCAGAGCTTGCAGTTAACCTACTATCAGTTCTTTCTGTGCCTCATATAAAATTGGTTAGGACTGCCTGCTCAGCTGCCACATTAAATCCTGGTAGTGAATTATCACTGTAATGAGGTCTAATGGATTTAGCCAGAACAGAAAACCTCTTATGCTTTCTGCAATAGTTTGGATTTGTGTGTGGCATTGAACACAGAGATGCTCTGCTTGTTGTAGGAGAGTACTGTTGAGATTCTTAATGTTCTGATACAATAACAAAGGAAGATAAGCAAAATTAATGTCAAATGTGTGCCGGTGACCAGAAATGCTTATTATGACCTGCATTGTTGTGTAAAGTTTGAGGCCGAATAGTCTTAATGTTGCTTCTATTTTATCAAGAATTTCTCCTTTTAAGTGCACTTTACCAGGAAGGCTTGATATCTTTGGTGTTCGTATCTACATCTAAATTGATACCATCACATCAAAGCACCTGAAATAATCCTGCTTTCCTTGTGATTGAAATAGTGGGGTTTTTATAGCCTGTGGATAATTGAGTCATATTAATAAAGCAAGAATGTAACTAATATGCAGTTCCTTGCAGTCTGTGCCCATCTTTTGACCTTGTCAGGTGATTTTATTAAGGAATGATATATGTGACTGTTAATGACAAGTGTGGTTTTTGTGTTTTTACCCTGTAATTTTTGAAACTGAAGTGATTGACTTGGGCCCAGTTCTAAAGGTGGAACATGTAGAGGCACCCATAACTCCCCTGCTGTCCCAGGAACATCAGTGGCTGCCTAACTGAGAGGTGTTCAGACTGGTAACACTTGGCAGTGTGACACAAGGACCCAGTGCTGAGGCCTCTTGGAGGTCTAACATAAGAGCAGAACTCTCTGTCCCATGGCAGATTCACTTCAGAAGTTTCTGCCTTTGAATTTCACCCAGCCCTTTTTTTCTGCTCATGTGACAGACTGTGGGGCCATCCTGTGAGCAAGGTCACTGAAATTATCTCAGTTAAAAGAAAAAAACTTCCTGTTTTATTTTCAATTTACATCCTTTTGGTGATCCAGTTTATGCTGCAAATCTACAGGTGTTTGTGTCTGTAGCTGTGTACCATGAGGGCAAGCCATCAGGGTGGGACTTCATAACCTGCGCTGCTGCCAAGGAATGAACATGCATACCTCAGCTACCTGCTTAAGTGGGGGAAAAAAAACCCTAAAACACTAGGTAGATATGAAACAGTTTAAACTGCAAACATAATTTTGAACATTTTGTATGCACTAATACATTACCTGTCTGGTGAGGTTGTGATGCAAACTGGTAGCTGTCCTTATTCTTTAAGGAGCTGTTGCCTACATGCACACAGCTTTCACTCTGACAGACAGTTTGTAATCAGTTCCCAAAGAAGATAAAGAAGGGAGCAGATAGGGAAGATTTAGCTCTGTGTGTTGACAGTGTTCTCCATAGTTTGATACAGAAACACTTTGACAGGATTAAGATATGTGGGGAATATATTGTTGTTGCAACCTGTGATTATGCCTGCTTTGAGACAGGCATATTTCTTAAGCAGTAAATTGTTATGTTTTGAAATTTACTTCATTGGAGAAATAAATGGAATAAACAGATTTAAATTATCTGATTTCCTATTAAAAGCTGGTTTTCTTTCCATGACTTGGGAAGCTGAGCTGTTTCAGATATCTTGTTAAGAGAAGCAATGAAAATTCTAGACTGCATAAAACCTTGAGAAAATAAAATGTAGTTACCTCTGAGGATGTGTTTTATGAATTGTTACTTGAAATTGGGTGCTTGCTCTAGGTACTTGCTTGAACCTCTGAGACGTGGGTGAAAACCAGATTTGGGACTCATTCTCATGCAGCACTTGACTTCTTAAATTAAGGTCTTGCAGACTGAAGTAAAATGTCAAGTGTGTGAGTGCAAAGCTGAAATAGCAGCTAATGGAGCAAAGTGCTGAGCTGGCTTTGGTTCCACAGAGGAGTGATCTGCTGGTGTTGAATCACTTAACATGAGTGTGAGACAGTTGAAGGAAGGATGGGTATTTACTGTATAGTGACATATATGTAGTATAGTGTAGACTGTGAGTTATTGTACAGGGCTTTCATTGTGTTCTCAAAAGACAGCCAAACAGATGCTCACAACTAAGGGTGCTTACTAAAATAATGCATGTGCAGTTCCGCGATGGAACATCCACCCTTCTAGTTAACATAGATTAGTTCTTGTTTAGTCAGGTTTTTTTAAAGCTCCCAAGGTGAATTGAAAAAGAGACACTGAGCAGTGAAAGTCTAGAATTTCTACTTTGTGATGGGCTGCAGCTGGTGAAAGAGGCAGGCATGCTATCCTGCAAAGGGACAGCACTGTGGAGCAATATGAACTTGCAAAATCACTGCTATGTTTCTACAGCACACAGAGATCTTTCCATATGGACTAGCATGCTGATGATTGAGAGATGAAAAAAGCCTGGCATAATTTGTTTTTCTATCTAACCACTGCTGTTTGACTGATCATTAAAACAAGAGTATGTATCTCATTTAACCATGGGCTATTTTCAATCTGTTCTTGTAAGAATATTTTTTTTCTAGTTACCATCTGCTGCTTTTCTCTTTCTCAGGAAGCAACTGTGTCCAGCCCTAATAGTAATCCTGGGAAATCCAATCCATGATAAAACTATCACCTCTGCCCACAGCAGCGTCTGCCTTGAGGCTGATTCCCCTTCCTCAGGGATCTCTGATCATGGCCGGGGTTCAGGTTGTTCTTCCACGGCCCCTGCCCTTAGTGGGCCCGTTGCACGGACCATATATTATATTGCAGCAGAACTGGTTCGACTGGTGGGGTCAGTGGAATCCATGAAGCCTGTGCTACAGTCTCTGTATCACCGCATGTTGCTTTACCCACCACCTCAACATCGAGTAGAAGCCATCAAAATTATGAAAGAGGTAGGACAATCACATGTGCAAATCCAGGCATGTAAAACAAAGTGTTTATTTAACAGTAAGTTTTGCTGATATGTGCACACCAATGCATTTCAAACCTTCCCACCTAGGGATGTTGAACTTGTCCTTTCTGAGCACAGCTGGTACAGCGGCACCACTCTGACAGATAGTTTGATGCAGTTGTAATAGCTGTGTGTCTCCATAGTACAAGCTACTGTGGCACTCCATCAGTGCTCGTGCTGTGGTGCTGCATGGAGCAGATCCTATCACTGAGTCACAACTGCTCTTTTGGGTGAGATATAGCATAACAATCCGGTTTGCCACTTCTTTGGCATCTTTCCCCAGACACATCCTCACAGTCTGGTTTCCAGGCATGAAGGTGAATATATGCTTTGATTACATGCCCGGTTTTTGAAATCCAGTTTCTTGGAGCTTTTTTGAATAGATACAAGAAAGCTGCCAGTGGCTTAAGAAGCCCTTTCAAGACCAGTCCATTCTGGCCTCTTGCCCAGTGTCTCTGAAAGCACTAGAAGTGGAACACTGGGATACTTGTTTCAGCACTAGCTGAAATTACGGACTTTTCTATTCCACATGGGCACCTTTCTTCTCATGTTGTGGAAAACAAAGAAATTTATGTAATTTGTAGAAATAGTGCTATCTCCTAGAGAATTTTTCATCTAGCTTGTGCATACCTAGGCTGTTCTATTTCTGAAGAATCTTAACGCCACACAGCCACCCACTAGGTTCCTGTCTAAACTGGGAGTCATTCTGTCACTGTCTTTCTCTAATTTTATACAATAGCAAAATGATAACTGAAGTTTTAGGAAAAGCTAAGCCTAATGTTGTTTTGTGCAGGACACACCTCTTGCTTCTTTGGGCTTATTAATACATGCTTGTTTGTATTTCCTGGTGGGCATTCACAAGGTGCCACCTAGCAGGTTGAGTCTGAAGGAATCACTTTGCCTATCTTCGCATGACTCCATAATTGTGTAACTAGGTGGCTGAGGAGAGAGGTCTCCTTTGGTATAAACTATAATAAAAAATACGTATGTAGGCATAAAAATTGTCTTGTGTGCAGTATCAGGTGAAAAAATGAGCTAAAAATGTAAAGCACTGGAGAACATTCTAAATGTGATTCTTGCTGAATATTCTGCTTTACTTGCTTTTCTGTGTCTAAAAAGAGGAAAGGTAGCTTTAATAGGTAGAGCATGACTGTCCATTTTCATTTGCTGCGAGAAATTACAGCAGTGCTTACCTTAGACTTGATAGAATTATGACTTATTTATTGTATTTAAATAATGCTTAGATAATCTTCTACTTACTTCTGTTTCTTTTCCTTTCAGATACTTGGCAGTCCTCGGCAGCTTTGTGATTTGGCAGGGCCCTGCTCTTCTGAGTCAGAATCCAAGAAGAGGTCTATTTCTAAAAGAAAGTCCCATCTGGATCTTCTCAAGCTGTACGCTTTGTTTCCTCCTTTAGCCTCTTCTGTCTTAAACTCTTGCACACAGAGCACATAAGCAGTTCAGGAGCATACCCAGTATGAGCCAGGGTATCTGCCTGGTTAAACAAGCTCTGAGAATGGAAAAGGTGTAAAAGCTCTTGCTTGGTTTGTCATCAGTCTGGGCCTGTTTTTAAAGGCATAGATAACTACCTTGTTGAGTTTGCCAGAATTCCCAAATATGTTAGTTTACAGCTGAAAATTTTTGAGTATGTGCCCTTAAACTTGCAGTAAAATTAATGTGTGTTTTTTTAGAGGTATATTTTCAAGATGAAGTCAAAGGAGGTCATAGAAAATTTAAACATCGTCACGTTGAGCAGGAAGGGTTCTCGGTTCTTATAAAGATCATATCTTGTACATAAGATCATTTTCAGGATACAGATGGCCTTTAAATTTAGTTCAGCTGGGTGTTGAGATTTTTTTAGTTAAGTGCATGTCTGTACGAGAGAACATGCTGTGTATGGTGGTGTGAGTGCATGGTGACTTTCCCTTGTTGGCACTCCCTTTACAGAATGACCATGTTTGCATGGGAGACTTAATAGTTTGTTCTTACACTAATTGTCTTTCTCAGGAATAACCTTAAAGGATAAGTTCACTTCTTTTTTTTCCTGGTTATGGACAGATGGTGTTGAATGACAGTGACATGCTCACCATGCATGTTGCATTCATCACTTAAATACTCTCTGTGTTGATTGTAGTATCATGGATGGGATGACGGAAGCGTGCATCAAAGGCGGTATTGAAGCGTGCTATGCTTCAGTGTCCTGTGTCTTTGCCCTGCTTGGAGCGTTAGATGAGCTGAGCCAAGGGAGGGGTCTTAGTGAAGAGCAGATCCAGCTGCTGCTCCAGCGTTTGGAAGAATTGAAGGATGGGACCGAGACAAGCAGGGACTCCATGGAGATCAATGATGCTGACTTCAGGTGGCAGAGACGCATCCTGTCCTCAGAGAACCCTGCCTGGGAATCAGGAAATGAGAAGAGTCCTGATATCAGCATTAGCGTTACCACAGACACTGGTCAGACTACTTTGGAAGGGGATATGGGACAAACAACTCCAGAGGATAATCCAGAAAATCCAAAAAACTCCCTGCCCTCTCCAGCTGGACATGAAAGCAAAGAGATTCATTATAGAGAACCAGAGTCAGAAACCATTGACCAGCCAGATGTTGTTCAAAGAAGCCACACCATAGTCTATCCAGATATAACTAACTTTTTATCAGTTGACTGCAAGACCCGGTCCTATGGATCCAGATACAGTGAAAGTAACTTCAGTGTAGATGACCAGGACCTTTCTAGGACTGAGTTTGATTCATGTGACCAGTATTCCATGGCAGCAGAAAAGGATTCGGGCAGGTCTGATGTCTCAGACATAGGCTCTGACAATTGTTCCCTGGCTGATGAGGAGCAGACCCCACGGGATTGCCCGGGTCACAGGTCCTTACGCACTGCTGCTCTCTCTCTGAAGCTGCTGAAGAGCCAAGAAGCAGACCAGCACAGTGCACGGCTCTTCATCCAGTCACTTGAAGCACTTCTTCCTAGGCTTATAGCTCTTCCCAGCATAGAAGAAGTGGATGGAGCGCTGCAGAGCTTCTCTTCAACATTCTGCTCAGGTTTGCAAGCAAATATTTACTGTCTAACCAGCATGCACACTCTAACTGCACTGTACACAGATTCCCTTGTAGGATTTCATCTTCAGAGAACATACCCAGAATGAGGAGGTTTGGGCTTTACACCATACATTCCTCCACAGGAACATACTTCATTTAAGGCAAAGCAAATTGAGTATGCAGGCAGTGATCCAAAGGGAGGTAAATCCATTGACTCTTAGCAGGCTCTGGATTATGTCCTGAATCAATAAAGAAATGGAGTTTGTTGTAGCAAGATACCTCTTTGCAGGTTTGTGAAGCTCTGTTGAGAAGCTTTGCGCATGGTGTCACTAAAGAGAGGTCGGGGTTGCACCTTAGCATGAGAGAGGTGTGGGACATCCCATCACCTGTTTGCAATGACATATGAGTAGCTTAGTACATCACTGCACTGTTATTATTAGTAATGCCAGCCTCACAAAGAGGGTAGTAACAATTCTGCAGCAGTAAGCTCTAGAAAGAATAGAGAAAGAGGGGAGTTTGTCTTCACTCTTTTGTTTTTCATAATGTTGCTGTCTAATATGACAGGAAGTGCAAAGCTCAAAGCCCAGACCAAGACAAAAATTAAGATCTGCCTATCTTCTGTTCTTTAATGATTAGAACAGTTGGGATCTCAACCTGTCAAACAAACAAAAAAAGTCATGCAAAGTCTAGTTTGTCCTGTTGATAGCATATTTAAAATGTGTTTAAATATATATTTTTAGAAGGATTTTGCTTTCCTGACAGTGGCCAAAATGAAAATGTTTGCTAAAATATGTCTGTTTATTTAACTTACTTTACTGCATTTGCCTTTCCTATTGCTCGTCTCCTAATCATTGCTTCATTCATTTATGCTCTCTCACACACATTAAACTCATGTAGAGTCAGAAGGACTTTTCCCATCATCATACAGCATAATTTAGATATGAAGCTGGGTGAATAAGATGATATTCTTGATATCCTGTTTAAATGATACCCAAGTAAACCTTAACTCAGGAAGATCATAAATGGTATTCTTAAGAAACATTGGCTATTTTACATCACAGAAAGGAAATACCTTAAAAGAGGCACTAATGTGCACTACTTTCCTAATTGAGTGGCTCAAGAACACCCTTTCTGTCACAGGTATTTCTTTTTTCCTGGAAAATAGTAATCTTGAGGTTATGATGAAAGACCAGTGCTAGACCTCTAATTCATACCTTTGTGCACCTGTTTCCTTGTGCATGAATGAGTATGCCACTTCTTTTCCCTTTTGTCTGTAAAGTCTTTATAGAGTGCTTTTAAGGCTTTAGAAGATGTGGACCTAGGAGAATTCTAGATTTTAAGGCTAAACATAGCTTTTCTTGGCATTCAGTATGAGTAATACAGTGAGAAAAGTGGAAGAGTATAACTCAATTTTTGCATTAAATCCATTGTTTGTGGTTTGTATATCTTAAAAAAGATACCTAGTCTTGGACTTAGATTATTGAGAGAGACCATTCACTTTTCTAAGAAAGCCACCGTGTGGCTAAATCTGTACTTTAAAAATGTACACCACGTTTCCAGATGGATTTTGCGAAGTACTTGTAAAAGACACCATTCAGTAAGGAATCGTGGAAGAATGGAGTTGCAAGTCACTGTATTAAGACAGCCTGGAAGAGGTATCCTGGAGTTTTCATGAAGCTGTGGCTGTTGCAGGGTTGTACTTTTATGCTTTCATAAGATCTGGGCAATTCCTGTTTCAGTTGGACACCTGGAATGAGACTCATTCCAGCTGAAACAGTCCCTTAACTTGGACCTCAGATCTTAAGCAAATGTCTATCAGTCCTCCCGAGGTGAGAACTTGTGCTCCTGTGTAGGTGAGAGAGCCATGAGTTTGAAAACCTTCAGAGAGAGAGACTTAGGAAATTTGAATCAAATGTCAGGGGGTGAGAAGTCCCCTGGAGAGCTTCTGAGACACCAGTTTGATCTGCCTCTCTGAACAATGTGTAGGCCCTTACTTTAGGAGTCCTTGATTAGCACCAGCTGGTCAAGGTACTGATTAGATGATGAAGCTAGAGGGATTGATCCCATTCAAGATAAACAAAATTTATTCATGTATATACAACATTTATTCATGAAAATAATAGTATAATTCTTGAAAAATACATGGAGAAATTTGAGAGTTGGTAAAGATTTGAGTTGAGAAAAGACATAGATGCAGTTCTGAGACCAGTCAGTACAAAAGCAGTATTTTTGTGTTTCTGGGAGACCTTATTTAACTGCTTTGTTTAATTTCTCAATTTTTCTTAAACTTTGGAAGAATAATACAATTCAGTATTTTTTCCTTCGAGCCAGGTCCTTATATAGATAGCATTTCAAAATTAGCATGTTTTCATAGGATTGAAAGGCAATGAATGGAGGTAGGAATTTAAGGCACTGCTGAGATAAACATGAAAAAGATGTAGTCAGCTAAACAGTGTTGTAGTGAAAATAAAATTTGCAATTAAGTTGGTTAACTCTAAACTTAGGAGTAAGTTAGCCCATCTAGAGTTTTGATTCCATGCTTTTTAGAGAGAAGGTTTTTATGCTGGTAGGTATAATCTTATCTTCTGTTTCTGTGATCTCAGCATCTCACAAAGGCAGTTGTTTGTTTTCCCATATTTTAGAGGAAGTTAAGGAACATATTTTTCCCCAACACTTTTTAGTGCTCAAATACATACCCTCAGCAGATTATCAACTTTTCTGTGCACTTCTACACCTTCCTTTTTAATTGCAATCTTGTAAAGGAGGTTGCACATTTTTTTAAACATTTTGATGTAAAATAAAATGGGCTTTTTTGTTTGGTTGGGATTTTTTGTTGTTGGGGTTTTTTGTTTTTTGTTTTTTTGTTTTTTGTTTTTTTACTTTTACATGCACCTCTGAGATTTTTATTACTCTAGCAGATTCTAGTCCCCTAGGTACATATTTAAGAGAGATAAGACAAAAAGCCAATGTGAGATGAGATATCTACATCAATATCATGATCCTCCATCTGACAGAGTGTTGAGATGCATCTTTGTTTTCAGTGATGAAGAAATCACTAGAGCTACTGGCAGGGTACTTTCAAGCACATGGTTGCAGTTTTGGTACTAGGTAAAGCTGACATTCTGTTGACATTCACCATGAGAAATCTACCCCAAGCAATGCCAGCCTGTGTGGGTGTGGTTTGTGGCCAGCCCTATCACCCTTCTTCCACAAAGGTTGCTCCCTTGAACAGATATTCATTTTTTAGACCCACCCTGGAACAGTTACTGTCTTTCTAAATCCACCCTCAAACAGTTACTCACCTTATCCACGCCCCCAAAGTGACGACAGTGGAAAGTCCGAGAAGGCAGCAGCACAGAGCTTTCAAACCCTCACGAGGCAAGAAAAACATTTGCTTCTTTTCTGTGTGTGGATTTTTTTTTATTTTTTTACTGTTAATGGTTTGTTGTATTTTGTCTAAGAGGTATGAGCTTTATGGTGGGAGGAGTATATTCACAGTAAACCACTGCAGCCGTTAACAAATGACACAGCTTTGCTTCATCATGTAACTAACCTTGGAAGCTGGTTTTTGTTCCATTTCAAACATTCCTTTAGGGTAAAGCTGACTTCTTAATATTCCCTAATTGACATTATATGAATGGATTTCACAGTTGATGTGAAAACCATGAAACACTGAGTTATGTGGGTGGATCTGGTGTTTCTGGTTTTTTCATGGTTCAGACTACAGATCATGGGGATTCAATTAGGTGTTGCTCATACTTGATTGATATTTTTCTACCAGTAGGTCAGCGATTTGACATCCATGGGAAGAAGGGATTGGGCCATTGAGCATGGTTGTAGGCTTCATACAAATAGTGTTTTCAGGACTAGTGAGTTCTTTCTGGTGGTTTCTGGGTCTGACAGAAGTGCAAGTGCTCAGCCATTTAGAAAGTAGGCCTTGTATGAAATAAATAGGGCTTGAAGTTGTAACTAGTTCCAGCCAGCTTGGCCCCAGATATTTGTCCACATACCTCTAGGCCATGGAGAGAATGATGATTACAGACTGATCTTGTGAGGTGTGGAGCACTCCAGTCCCCATCCAGCAAATGACTTTGCCAGAATGGGTTTACTAGGGAGTTAAAAGGGCTGTTAATCTCATTAGCACCATTTGGTGCAGTGTATTTTCATTTAAGTACACAGGCTTTGGGTCTACTCCTTTGCACCTCACTTTTCCAGTTAGCATTGCAGATGTATCCTGCCCTTTGCTTTATACATGACAGTCATCCCAGTAAATGCTGGTGCTCCTTGCTTATTTCAAATTTAGCACGTTGTTTTGCTGGACTGTGACTGGAGTGTTCAGTTTGTCTTGCATTCTAGATGAACTACTTATTTTTCTATTCCCTACTCTAGTATGTTTAGTAGAGCAATTTCTACTGATGATTCATTAACTATTCTAGCAATCTGTTGCTGCCAAAATGCTAGGGATAGTTTCTGATATTTTTTCCAGGAAAAATCTGTGTAAAATATGAGAGCTCACATGGTGTTTTTGTTAGGTATGATGCACTCACCAGGATTTGAGGGAAACCTAAATTTCAACTTCCAGACTCTGATGAATGCAGACAGTCTCTATGTGGTATCACATTACACTTTGCTGCTCAACCTAAAATTGGCAAACTCAGATTACTACAGGAAGAAGCCTGCCCAAGCCCCCGTGTTGCTGGTGAGTTGGGGAATATGGGATCATTGTTTTTAAAAAATGAAAATTTATTTTGCTTCCTTTCACATAAACCAGCCCACACATAAAACCTTCAGGCTGCTTGCTAAGTGGAGAAATAGTAATTGCAAATGAAGCGTTCTCCAAGCTGCTTATGAATCTTGCATGATAAGTGTCGTGCATCTGAATTACTCTGTGATTTGGTGGGAAGGAATGCTGCTTACTGATTGTCATTAAGGTCGCAGTCATTTTGATGGTTAAGCTATTTTCAGAATAGATTAGCATCATGTGATATGACAAGTATTGTCTCTTGACAATGTGCATGAACATATGTTCATCTTGCAACTGGTTTTTTTTGCCTAATATTTAATTTGAATTTCTGTAGATGAAGACATGAGAAGTTAAAGTGAAAAATAAGTAGGTCTTAGTAATGTGAAATTATGATTTTTTTTACACCTGGAATTCCTCCATTTCTTGCTTCCTTCGAGCTTTGAAAACATGGATCCATGTTTTTCAACATAGTTGCCCAAGAGACATTTGTTCAGTTTTCTGAAAAACAAAAAAAAATTAGTTTATATATGAAATATATGTAAAAAATAAAAAAGGTGTCAAAATATATAATTATTGCTGAACTTCCAGTGTAAGGGAATTTATAATCTACATAATCTCAAAACCAAATGGAGTTTAACATCATCCTTAGTTCTGGTGTGTTCTGCAGCATATCAAGTGCAGATCTGTGGCTCATGAGATTCTCTGGAGGATTCAGTGTGCACAACAGGCCTGAGCATGACCAAAGTATTCTTAGAGATCATTCTGACAAATAATTGGACACCAGTTCATCTGTGATGACTGTTCAATGAAGAAAGGCCCAGTTGTTGGGCAGGCCTCGTTAGGTGCCACAACTTCTTTTAATTGGATTTGAGATCCTACTCCCACCTCATGGAAATACCGAGAGATCAGCATGTCCCACTGTCACTGTGCAAGAACTGCCATTCTGATTTGCATCTTGCATTAACTGCAGTAGGAGAAGGCAGAGCTGCTCATGTTCATGTCATTCTCCACTGCAGAGACAGACACAGAAGGATCTGGACAGGCTGGGCTGATGGGGCTTGGCCACTTGTGTGAGGGTCAATGAGGTAAAGTGTCAGATCATGCCCTTGAGTCACAAGAACCCAGTGTGGCACTACAGGCTGGGGCAGAGTGGCTGGGGAGCTGCCTGGGGGAAAAAGACCTGGGAGTGTTTATGAGCCAACTGAGCATGAGCCAGTGTGGGCTCAGGTGGCCAAGAAGGCCAGTGGCATCCTGGGCCTGTTATCAGGAATAGTGTGGCCAGCAGGACCAGGGCAGGGATTGTCCTTCTACTGGTGAGGCTGCACATCAAATCCTGTGTTCAGTCTTGGACTCCCAGTACAAGAAGGACATTGAGGTCCTGGAGAGAGTCCAGAGAAGGGCAACAAAGCTGGTCAAGTGTCTGGAGACCACGTCCTATGAGGAGTGGCTGAGGGAGCTGCCACTTTGTTTAGCCTGGAGGAAAGGAGGTTCAGAGGAGAGCTTCTCATTGTCTACAACTCCCTGAAGGAGGGTGTAGTGAGGTGAGGGTAGAACTCTTCTCCCAGGTAACAAGCGACAGGACTAGAGGAAATTATCCCATATTGTGCCAGGGAAGGTTTAGATTAGATACCAGGAAATTTCTTTTCATGGATGGGTTTGTAAGGAAGAAGAACAAACTACCCCTGGAAGCATTCAAAAACATGTGAGTATGGCACTTCAGGGCATGGTTTAATGGTGAATGTGGTGATGGTGCTGTGCTGACAGTTGGACTTAATGATCTTAAAGATATTTTCCAATCTTAACAATTCTAAGATTGCAATCCTCAGTTAATTATTTTCATAACTTAATTTCTACTTCTGAAATCCCTTACTCAGAAGTAGATCTGGGGATGCTGTAGGGCTTACACTGTTGTCTTACATTTGGCTTTTATGGTTCTCTGCAGAAGGAGTTCATGAAGCAGGTCCAATCCAGTGGAGTGTTGATGGTATTTTCCCAGGCATGGGTTGAAGAACTGTACCACCAGGTACTAGAAAGGAACATGCTAGGGGAAGCTGGATACTGGGGAAGCCCTGAGGAGCACAGCCTTCCACTTATCAGCATGCTGACAGGTCAGTGCAATTTATCATGGCAAGACTAACTTCCAAATGTGTCTAAAACAAGCTACAATGACAAGCTACAACACTGCTTTATTGCATTACACACAGAACAGCATGTCATCATGCAATATGTGGTGTCTCGTGGATTTATCAGTTGAGAAGGAGCCAGACCTAGCTGTGGCAGGTATTTAAGTGCTTGATTTGGCTCATCAGAGTGGTTCTGAAGCATAGGTTAAAAAAAAAATCAAAACTGTCCCTGGGAGACAGGGAGAGTAGTTTTTTTCACTGAACCAAAACATTTCTTATTTCTGTTACCTTCAATTCTGGTAGAGTTGATACTTGTTAATGATAAACTGTTTTCTTGATGTCACAGCAAAGCCATTTCAGTATGCCTGCGGTGCAGTACAAATATAAATAGTGGCATCTGATCCTGGAAGCCTTCCACAGATTAGACTCCCCTTGGTTCAGGCTTGAGCTATGCCAGGGATATGGCAAATGGCACTAGAGAGAAGCTGAAAACCTGGAACACAAGTGCTTAGAAACAATCTTTAGCTTCATTTGAGGGGAAAAAAATCAAATTGTATCAGTTGAAAGGCAGCAGGATGTGTATGATACTGTATTGATATAAAATGCACTGTCTGCTTTAATGTGTCTGTAATTAAAATAGTGTATGCAGGGAAAACAATGACTTCAGCTGAGCCAGTAAGTGGTGATCAAAGGCCACTGTTCTGAAAGTTTTTTGCTTGTTGTATTGAGCTTAGTGTTGCTTTTAACTACTGAGCTGGTAAGAGGGAAGAAACACGTGGAAAAAATGCTACACAGATGTGGAGATGGGGCTTGTTAGAAAGGAAATCAACCTGGTTTCCCTAACATTAAATTCCTCTGTGAGAAATGGCACTTTAGTTGTGTTGGAGAAAGGGTTGTATTTCTTTTGTTGAGATTGAGCATACACCGATCTACTAAAAATCACATTTAGGAAATAGGATCCCAGTGCATCTTGAGGACTCAGACTGAGGTCTGAAAGCATCTAAATACAGAACTTAGCAAGATTTGAAATATTATACTAAGAAATGCAGAGATTTAAGTGTGTGGTAAGTTCTGAACTGTAATACCTTGAAATCTCTACTGGAAGTTCTGTTCATTGTGTACTTGAAGAGGGGGGAGAGCAGCTTGTGAGAGTGGGATGTCTCCCCTGTTCAACAAAACATTGGTTATACATGGCAAAGCCTAAGGTGCCACAGCTCATGTTTATACCAAGGCTTTAGAAGGCTGCCAAAAAGAGTAACAAAATAATCACACCTGAGAAGTCAGGAATGCTAATACTTAGTTGAACACAGAGCCAGTAAGACGTGCTTTCCTCCTGCCATCTGTGTGGCAAACAGTAATCTGATGTTTTTTAATATTCTGGCAGACATCGATGGCTTGGGCAGCAGTGCAATCGGCGGCCAATTGATGGCATCTGCTTCAGCTCAATCTCCTCTTTCCCAGAACCGGAAGACAGATGATTCTGTTGTTGCAGGTACTAAGACTGTAATAAAAGTACAAGTGTGTTATCCACCAGTGGGTTGTTATGTACCAAAACCATATGCAGATAAATAGTGTAGAATAACAGTTTAAAAAGAAAGTATATCAGTACATGGTACATGTGAATTGGCAGTTCAGCCTGTAGGGGACAAATGAGACTTGGCTTTTTACCACTAATGATAAAGCTTCTGTTGTGCCTTTTTCTTGTAGTAATATTATTAATGTTTTTTCCACTTTAGGAATTGCTTTTGCCCGATACATTTTAATTGGCTGTTGGAAGAACCTGATTGACACTTTGTCCACCCCGCTGACTGGCCGCATGGCAGGCAGCTCCAAGGGGCTGGCCTTCATCTTGGGAGCAGAAGGAGCCAAAGAGCAGAACCAGAAGGAGAAGGACTCCATCTGCGTGAGCCTGGATGGACTAAGGAGGGCAGCCCGGCTGAGCTGTGCTCTGGGTAAGGCTGCATGGGGGATGTCATGGCAGATTCATAGAATGGGATGGTAACTTTCCTTGAAGGAATTTGGGAGAAGGAAATGCGGCATCCTGCTCCACTTTTGAATAGGAACATGGATGGTTGCAATATGCATAGAGTGCCCTACAGTATAAGCATATCTAGCCAACTTTTCTTGACCCTACTTCTTGTTGAGGTTGTATGGGACTGGGGAGGAAATGTTGGCCATAGAGTAATTGTGTTGTTGCTTTACAGGAGTTGCTGCCAACTGTGCATCTGCTCTTGCCCAAATGTCTGCAGCCTCCTGTGTCCAAGAAGAGAAAGAAGAAAAAGAAATCCAAGAACCCAGTGATACTATAGCTCAAGGTAACTACATGATTGAATTACCTACCTCATCTTACATTGCCTGTGAAGCTGCAACTGGAGAGCACTTTGCCACACATGAGTGGCACTTCCCTCTGTTGTTCTGCTGTACACCACTTGCTTGCAGGCACATAGGATGTGTGTCTTCAGTACATGCCTGCTGTCCTAAGTTCTTAACATTATGTCCCACTAATTATGTTCTATATGGAACTTATATCAGTGGAACAATGCATAAGCCAGCAGCATTTTTCAATGTGCTTTTTAAACCTTGTGATGCTAGTGCAACCAGAGAGCATCAGAGAAACAGTTATTTGGGGATTTTTGTGTGTTGGGTGGTAATGTAAACTGAGTTTGCATCGCTCTCCCTGTGTGGTTGTATCCTGTATCCTTGATTATCTTTTGTCGTCATCTTCAGATATTTAAAACTGTTTCTGGATCATGTTAGATTAAAATGGAATAAAAAATGGTGCCTTTTTAGCATATAAAAAGTTCTGCATCTCTGTACCACCATTTCAAACCCAGTGGTTGTCTCCAGTGACTATTTGAAGAAGTACACAAAACTTCTCTGTTTATGTCTAATTTCTAATGGCAAGAAGCCCATAACAAAAGAGTGTTGCACAAAAGACCTTGCTTGGTACTTAAATTTGGTGTTTTGGTAGAGAAAACAAAACTGAAAAGGCCTGAGCTTAAACAAGCTTTTGACTGCTCTGCTGGACATGGCTGAAGTGAGTTGGCCAGACTATGCTGAATCAAAGAGGAGGCAGCAGCAGTGGCCAGAGGCAAACAGATCTGCTCTGTGAAAGCCTGCAAAGCTTCAAAACTTGTTTCCATTCCAATGCAGCATGAAAATGAAGCTTTACAGGGGTTCTCAGAAAAAATAAATAGAACCAAATGGTTGTAGTTCGAATAAAGATTAGTTTTACTTTGGTAAGAGCTTTTTGGTGATTTTTTTTTTGTATGGAAATACATATGAAATCCACAAATGCTATTTTTTTTCCATACCAAAGGAGATTTTGGTAAAAATAAATACCCAGTCAGCCATCTCTGAAGAGAAATACCACTGGCAATCTGCAACTGTTCTGTGGGCAGCAGGATGTGAATTTGGGGGTGGAGGGTGTCAATCTAGCATGGATTTTCACTTTTTCATACTTTTCTTCATGAATATAGGCTCAGTCAAAAAGGATTTTAGTTTTAAAGCTACCTTAGGTTTATTAGGAAGAAATGGATTTCTCTGATTTGGTTGGGGTTTTTTTGCCTAAAATTCATGTTCTTTTATAGATGTCATCACCCTGTATACAAACCAGTGTTTGTTTAAAAGCTGAAGAAGCTAATTTTATTTATTTTTTTTATGCTACAGTGAAACAGAAAGTGGAGCAGAAACTGGAGCAGATGGGGAAAGTGCAGGGAGTCTGCCTGCACACTGCTCATGTTTTGTGTATGGATGCAGTCCTTAATGTGGGTCTGGAGATGGGAAGCCATAATCAGGACTGTTGGCCTCATGTATTCAGGTACTCACCAGCTTTCCCAAAATAGCCAGAATTCAGGCCATGTTGCCTGAAAGTAAGGGACTGAGAAAATGGGCTTTGCAATCTCTGGATGTTCTGTATAAACAGTGTCAAAGTGAATTAACTGTCAATATCTCTAAAAGAAAAGATGGTGCTGTTTTCCACCACTACACAGGCACAAAATGCTTAGAAGCTTCAAAGTTACCAGAAGACTGTGGCAGACCCAGGAACCTTAATGGGCTTTTTAGACACTTCCACCAAACTATTTGCTATCTAGGCACATGGGAGGCCAAAGAAGAAAAGTTATCTATGTGTAAGAAGAAAGGTTATCTCTGTGTTGTTTGAGAGTTAGAAAGCATCTGTTTGTGGTTTGAGGGAAATGTCCTGTGATTAGTGCAGGGAGGAGTTGTTTTGGGGTGTTATATTTGGAGTTTTTGTGCAGGAGTTGTTTTGGGGTGTTTATTAATTTTTTGCTTCTCCTGTTTATTAATTTTTTGCTTCTCCTGTGTGTTCCCAGGGTGTGTGAGTACATCAGCACACTGGAGCACACCCACTTCAGTGATGGTGCTGCCCAGCCCTCCCTTACCATCACCCAGTCCCAGCAAGCACCTGGAGGGCAGCACCCGGACTCTGAGCCTGGGGAGGCTCCTCAGGCACTGACCCCCGAGCAAGAGACCACCCTGAGCAGCCACCCTGTCATTCAGCCAGTTTCCATCCAGGATCTCATCAAGGACAGCAGTAAGGGCAGAGCTTTTGACTTCCGTGGAGGCAGTCTGCTGTGTGGTACCAGTGCTGCCAAGGCTGTTCTCACGCTCTCCACACAGGCTGACAGGTAAAAGCACTGCTGTCAGCAGCCAGAATCCTTGTTCCCAAAGCAGTACCAAAATGGCCCTTTCTCTGCTGCAGTGGGCCTAATCTTTGTTCATTTCAGCCACTTGCTTCAGTTGAATTTCACAAAAGAGCTGAGTGTTTGTCACAACCAGCAGTTTCTAAAAGACCTGGGGTTTTTTCATCTCTGCACTACCTGCAAGTACTGAGCTGTGTGTCTGTGCACAGCAGTGAATATGCCAGTCAAATCAAATGCATCCAAGAGTGGTGGATTTCTTTCTTGCGTGTAAATTGATATGTTGTATTCAGTTAAGCAGAGTAAAGGGATGTCTTGTCCTGGCAGCAAAGGACTGATTGACAAGACCAGTGTCAGTCAGAAAGCAGCTGCTTCTGCCAGGGCTGCATGGACGGTTTGTCAGGCTTCCCTAGTGTGTCCAAAGGAGCAAGGGAGCCAAGTATGGTCACAGAATGGCTGTCTGAATGTCCTTTCATCATGGCCTGCCGGCTGATATTATTTCTGCTATATTTTAAACAGCCCAGGTTGCAGTTGGAAAATTCCTGGGTTTGTTTCCTTGCAATTACCTTTTTGATCCAACTGATATTTTTCATCTTGATCTCTGCCCCTAGGAAGGTGTTATGTGTAAATTCAGAGCCAAAAGTACTGCATAAACTGCTTGTAGAAATTTACTCTGGGCAAGAAAATACCTTTTATTTAGGAAGCTTACAATGCAGCTTGGGTCTGAGGATTAGAGAATAGCAATACTGTAGCAATACTGTATACATTAAAATAGCAATTTTAATGATGCTGGTTTCATTTCTACCCTTTTACTTAAATGCAAATGTTTGTTGGGATTTAATCCCTTGTTTCTTAGGACTGTAGAAAAGTTTTTCATGAAAAGCAATAACAGAGAATCATATTTTTGTCAATTTCTGGATGCACCATATGAAATTTCACTGTAATCTCTGTGGATCTTCCCTCCAGTGTAACCACACTTATTGTTGTATGTGTACCGATTTTAACTGTTAAATCTTAGGAGCCCATTTCAGCTGAAAATAACAACTCTTGCTTGTATTTGTCACTGTTAGCCAAAGCATAGCCCCATGCATGCCTCTGTTAAAAAAATTAACTCTACCGCAGCCAAATTCAGCAAAATATTCCAAAGTAGCAATTCAGGTACGGTAACCTTAGGTTTAAGGCTTGAATTAATTTATTTTTCAGGTTGGGGTTGGTAACTTCAGATGGAGCACACTGGTGTAACTCTAAAGTTAGTGAAGCTATGATGATATGTGTTGTGAGAACTGTGCATGTTTCAACTGGTTTTTTGATTACTGGTTCATAAATGCCTTATGTAACTGGAAAAAGTGACTTTCTGTTTTAACACTGTAGTGAATCTTGAAAGGGTTCTGGTTGATTCCACAGCAACCTGCTTTCCATCCTCCAATTAATAAAGCTTCTAGATCAAAGTCTTGCTGCAGCATTGTATAAATTAAAAAGCCCCCAATAACCAATGTGTCAGGAAAGCCAACGTATAGAAGCCACAAACAGACAGGAGTTTTCCTCTTACATACACATTTAAGTTTGCATCTCATGAATTTTTCAGTTAGATTCTGTTCTTTACCTACAGGCTTTTTGAAGATGCTGCGGACAAGTTAAACTTGACGGCATTGGCAGGATTCCTTTACCAGCTCAAGAAGGCTTCTCAGGCCCAGCTTTTCCATTCAGTCACGGATACAGTTGATTACTCACTAGCAATGCCAGGTAAATAACCTGAAGATCCTGTACAGAGTGTTTTATATATAATTGTACTGCTTACAGGACTAATCTTTCTTATTACAATTGTGGGAGCAATTTTTTGTCTTCAGAAAAAGTTGAGCATTTTATTTGGACAGAGACCACATCCACACCTGCTTTGAAACACATCACAGGACATTCATTTGGTTCTTGGACGTTGGGGGGTGTTAATTGTGTGCCAATATATAATCACAGCTCTATTTTTGAACCCAGACCAGTATGGAAACTTGGGTCAGTCTAGACTTAAGACAGTGGATTTAGGTTTCATATTTGACATAGGATAACCTTAGATGTGTTCAGGAAATGGGCAATAGAGAACAGAGCACACAAATGAAGATTGTTAAAGCAGTGGGGTTTGTCCTGCTTGATTTTCCCCAACAGAGTAGAGCATGTACCTCACATCAATCAGAAGTTACATAAATAATACAGGTTTTGTTTTGTCCTGTGGCAGATGCTGTTTTTTTCTGAGTCTCCAATTTAATTGGTTTCCTCTCTCCCTGAAGTGCTGCTTGTTGTTTTCTTGGTATCACACTTCAGGATTTTGGGTTTTTTGGTCTTACTTGTCTCCAGACCTCAGTGTTCATTACTCTAGCTTTAATAGGTTTCATCTTTTCGTGTTATGTAGTCGTCAGTCAACTGTCATTTTAATACTGAAATTAAAATTAAAATAGAGGAATTAAGTGCTATTTTTTATTTTAAAAGTGATATGTCCCCTGATTACGTCTTTTGTTAGAGATAAAAGCAGTGTAAAGTGTATTTGAAATGAGAGGATGAAGTGTCTTTCCAAATGTTGTAAGAGCAATGGAAGATGAATCCCTTTCAACAGGAAATAACAAGTGTTAGTGACTGTGGAACAGAGAAGCATTTTCTTACATTCTGTTCTTTGTATCCCTTGCTTAATAAGAAATACAAAATTAAATACCCAAGCCAAATAATTTGCAGTTTATAATCTTTCCTGTAGATGTCACCAAAACCTTTCACAACTACCACTTTGTGTCTTAATATCATTTTATTTAACTCCTTGCTTAACTTTTCTGCAAGACTTTGCCAAGCCTTTGTCTTACGTATGTTTGCAAAAAAAGTGATCACTTAAAGTAGGTTTAGTAACCTTTAAACTTGGGTCCATCTCCTATTCCTTTATCTACATAGGCATAGGCTGTGTTTTACATTGGTTTTGGGGTTTTTTTCCTTTTTCTTGCCCCCACTAAAGCTTATTAATTATCAATCACTAATCAGTAATTTCTAATTCTTCTTCAGACATTTAGGAGTGGAGGAGCAGCTAATGCTTAGCTTCCATTTATTCTTATACTTTCTTGTAGGTGAAGTAAAATCTACCCAGGACAGGAGAAGTGCTCTTCACTTATTCCGGCTTGGTGATGCCATGCTCAGAATTGTGAGGAGTAAATCCCGCCCGCTGCTCCACCTCATGCGCTGCTGGAGCCTGGTGGCTCCTCACCTCGTAGAGGTAGGAATGGGGAACAAAAATGGGAATGTGTGCACAAAGCCACAAAGCTGAGAAAGATGAAGAAGGCTTGATAGCTCTTAAAATGTATAGCAACCTTCAACATTGTCAAATCTGCTCTGTGTTGGATACACTGTGTCATATATTGCAATACTGCCACCAAAGAGTGTGCTTGTAAGTGACTGAAATGGGCAGGGGCAGGGTGTTAAACGCTGCAATACAATGCAAATTGTGCCTGGAGAAAAAACTGAAACCACCCCAAGGGGCTCTAAGTGACTCCTCCATCTGCTTATATTCCAGTCAAGGTCTGCATCCTTGCAGTTCTTCCTATAAAAGGATGCAGATTTTCTTTTTCCATATAAAGCCAGCTCAGCTGCTACCTTTGGAAGAGAAAAAGGGTCACACAGTCCAAACAAAAAACAAGATTTCACACAAGTTCTGTTCTGTGGGTTTTAGTATTTAATTTATTTATATTTAGCTCTATGTGTTTTTAATTGCCAGCCAACTTTCATACATCTGTGGACCTCTAGGCAGCTCAGAGTCTCAGACATCTGTTTCCAGGGCAGTAGTCTCCTGTTTTCATTACAGCAGGGTCCCTGGTCACATCAGTGATGAAGCTGTTTTGAAGGTTCAGTAACCTGTAGGGCTTACCTCCCTTGAAAATGTCTGACTAAAAGCAAATTTTTTGCTTGGACACAGTCTAATCCTTCTCCTTTCCCTGCAGGCTGCCTGTCACAAGGAGAGACACGTGTCTCAGAAGGCTGTCTCCTTCATCCATGACATCCTCACGGAAGTGCTGATGGACTGGAACGAGCCTTCTCACTTTCACTTCAACGAGGCACTTTTCCGCCCCTTTGAGCGCATCATGCAGCTGGAGCTCTGTGATGAGGATGTCCAAGACCAGGCAAGTTAGCTCTGATGAATGGGTCTGTATCTGGTCTCCATGGATATAAGAATGGTTTCCGGACTGAGAGTGTTGCCCAGATTCCCTTTGAATGCTGCCCCTTAATCATCTTCAAAGAACTGGGAGTGTTCTGCCTACCTAATCCAGCATTGTGAGAGAGCACAGAGACGGCAGACCTGGCTTTTTAAGCAATTAAATAAAGATTTTCTACTATCTAAAACAATTTAAAGAATAATCTAGATTGTCATAGTGAGGTCTAGGAATGTGCTTCAAAACATTCCTTCTGAAGATCCATCTGTATATCCGTTCTGGTTTTTGATTCTTTTATTTTAACCCCTCCTACACTGGCTGCAGGTGATCACGTCTATAGGAGAGTTGGTGGAAATGTGTTCTACCCAGATCCAGTCGGGATGGAGACCCCTGTTCAGTGCCCTGGAAACAGTGCACAGCAGCAGCAAGTCAGAGGTCAAGGAGTACCTCGTAGGAGAATACTCTATGGGTAAGAACTTTCTGCACTGTTTCAAATATGCTTTTGATTCCCTGGGGGACACAGTAACTAACACAATATATTGAAATGCCTAAACTCAAAGTGGCACTACAATACTCCAGAACTGTACCAAAGCATCTGACTTGATAGTTGGGGTAGGAAGGAAAGCAGATATATTGTTCTGACCTTTTGTCCTCTACATTCTAACAAATTATTTGAATGAGAAAGAATGAGAAAATTATTTGAATGAGAGAAAACCTACTTGGACAAGTCTGAGCAAGACAGTAGTGCAAGGGTACTGAGCTTGGATGAGCATTTGTCACTGTCTTACTGGAAAAAGGACTGTATCCAAGCAGCATGTGAACTGTCTTCCCTATTGTATGAAAGCTATTGCTCTGTACCTCAGGGTAACTTCATATGATAATGTGGGCAAGTGCTTGTCCAGGCATTTGATCACAAAGCTTACAGATTCCTAGTGCTATTACTGACCACATTTCTGTAAAAATGTGCATCCTTCCCGGAAATGTTTGCTGTATGGAAATATGTAATATGGTAAAATCAATTTTTTCTGTTCTTTTGCCGCATTAGAAGGCAGGTTTAAATGTGACAAGTCACATGTAAGGGATATGGTTTTCCTTCTAAACTTAGTCATTGAGATCTGTTATGGTTGATGCTGAATGCTGGTGTACACAGCTTTTGAAGACGATAATCTACTTTGGAAAATCAAGGCTATTTTGTTACTCTATAGTCTGAATGATTGATGTAATCTTGGAAGTTATCAAAAACTAAACCAGAAACTAAACAGAAACCTCCACCAAAGTATATATATATAATACCTCAGAAATATTAGCTCCTGAGTTCAAGAGCTCAAACCTGCTCCTACCATTTGAGCAGGCATAAACTGGTATTTGTCATAGACTGGGCAAAGAAGGGAGTCTGTCACTTCCTATGAAAGGCTACACAAGTTGCCCCAGGAGCAAGAGAAGATTTTACTTTTAAGATTATTTCTGTCTCTGCCCAGAATAGAAAAGATTTTAGATTCAGTTAAACTGTTGAAAAATGGTTGGAAAATTATTTTTAAGGAGGTGTGAGAAAGAGTTCTCATCTTGTTATCTCCACAGGGAAACGCCAGGCTCCAGTGTTTGATGTCTTTGAAGCATTTCTAAACACAGACAACATCCAGGTCTTTGCCAACGCTGCCACCAGTTATATTATGTGCCTTATGAAGTTTGTCAAAGGACTGGGTAAATATTTTCCTATTAAGTCATGATATCCCACAGAAGAGAATAATTCAATTATGTAATATGTAGCATGGTAGGAAAGAGAGAGGCACTGAAGATGTTGAGTCCAGAACGCTTTAAAAAAATAAAATAAATGAAGACCAAGGGATTATTTCTGTAACATTTTTAATACTATCAGTTCTTCAAGTTTTTATAGCAGCGAAGATGCATCTCACTATTAGGTGTCTGCTTCTTAATTTGATCTTAGTTTACACCAGGATTTTTTTATATTCATGTAAATAATAAAACAAAAAAGCATCCAAACCTAGAATATTGCAGAAATGGCCTGGCATTGTGCAGAGACAGCATGGCTTGTTTGCAACAGCAGGACATGTTTTACACTGTGGGCAGCAGAGACCAGGCATAGCATGTCAGGGTGACTCTGCAGAGTAATTGTCATGCTTCACCAGCCTTCAGAACAAAGGCAAATGGTGCTGGGTCATTCTGCACCCGTGCTGGTGATCCGTGGCTTGCCTTGATCATTAGAGTTTGACACTTTTCACTGAACTGTGACAATGTTGGGGTTTTTTTGTGGATGTAAATTATAGAACTTCTAAGTAGTGATAAAATTGAGCTTTTGGTTTCTTTATGAATGCTAATTCACGGAGATGAGAATGTGAAAATTAATTCACAGAGATGGTTGGAAATAAACCAACATGTCTTACAATCTAGGTCTGTGAGCAACTCATTTTGATTTAAATTAAGCACCTAGGTGCAGAAGATCTACTCTTTAGTGTTACTCTTGTTTCATTGACCTATTTCACCATTGATTTAAATGGGGGAAGGATTCACCTTGTGATGTAGTTGTAATTGTAGTTATTACTACAAAAGAGAAATAAACGTACATGTCCAGTACCAATAGAGGGAACTCATGTTTTTTTCTGCAGAGCTTAAAAGCCTGTCTTATATTTCTTTACGTTTCTTGCATTCATAAGATAATTTTGACCCCATTGTGGTTTCATATCAAAAATCAAGGTCTTTTTTTGTATTAAAGGTAATAGGACTATGGGAAACATCAACAAATACAATGCCATACTATGTGCATTTTATTGTAAAACTAAAGGATTCAAACTTCATTGGCTGTCTTGGCTGATCTCAATAGTAGACAAAACTTTAAAATACATTATGGAGTGAATAGTTAAGAGCATAGAAAAAGCAAATAAATATAGAGAAAGGAGAACAGGTAGGATCTAGTAAAAATTTTAATATTTATCTTGTGCTTTTTATGAGAGGAATAACTTTTCAAGGCAAGAAAATGTTAATGTCGATAGGCATTTAGTCACGCTCCAGATTTGGCCCTGAAGGAGAAGTATTTGGCTAAACTGGAAAAATGGTTTTGAGCCAAGTGTTCTAAGGTGGACAGAACTTTAGCTGAGATGAGACAAGCAGACTGGCAGACAGGGAAAATGATGGAGTGAATGGAGTTACCCAGAGAGGAGCTCTGCAGCAGGATGCCTTGGAACTGCTCTGCTTATTGAATTCCCTTAGTGAAGCTGGACTGAGAGGAGCAGTCTGCCGATTGAAGTTAGGAATACCATCAACAGAGGCACTAGGACCTGAGGATATGTGTCATACAGTTGAAGGATGTGTGTCATACAGTCATACTGTGAGACTTGATGCCTGCATTAGACAGCAGAAGAAAGTGTAGTATACAAAATATAAAATGATGGATTTAAGCAGTAAATAAACTAATAGGAAGAACTTGTGGTAGAAGAATTTTCCGGGCAGTGGGGTACAAATGAATAGAAAAAAATACTGCAGTAACTGAGCAATGCTTAATAAAAGTAATTAATTCCTACACCCATGGAAGACAGTGGAATGGAGTCAATATGGCAGATAATACAATATATGATTATTAGAACTTCCAAAGACTCTGCTAAAGAAATATTAAATAGGCATATGTTTATTAAAGCATTTATTCATATAAAAATTTGTGTACAAACTATGACCAGTATTACTGTATTGTTTGTGTGTGGGTCACCTGGTTGTCATCTAAGAAGATCAAACAAAGGGTGTTTTCTGGATTCTGTTTATTAGGGTGTAACTGAATGAGAAAAGAAAATTAATGCTCTACTTACTGTTTTTCTTCTGTCCTTCCCAATGCTGCCTTTCCTGTCCCCAGGGGAAGTAGATTGTAAGGAGATGGGTGACTGTGTGCCAGGATCAGGATCTGCATCTACAGACTTGTGCCTTCCCGCGCTTGATTACCTCAGGAGATGTTCTCAGGTATGATGAACAATCTTACACAGGCACTAACCTGGCCTGGGAAATAATTCTAACCTGCAGGCTTTGCATCAGTCATTGGATGATTTGTATGAGCCCAACAGAGTCTGTAGTGACCCTGATGGTAATACCCTGCACTGCCAAGTGGACAGTGGGAATCTGAGGGAATATCATACCTTCCAGGCCAGTTAGCAGTGGGAAAACCGAGGAGGTAGAAAAAAACTCAGACCTAGGGAGCAAGTGAGAAAACGTGAATGTTCAAAACATCGTAGTAACATAATTCAAAGCTAAATTCATTCTTATTTAAACAGTTACCATAAACAGTGTTGTGAATGAAAAACCAAAAAAAACCAAAAAACAAGAAGTTGAGAATTCTTTTATTTTAAATACAAGAGGTTGCACCCTCTGAAATGCAGAAGCAGCTTATTTGTACCATGCAGACATACCTGAAGCTCAGGTCAAATCTCTAATAATTAGAATGCTGGCATGTTTCCTCTAATCTTCTTGCACACAGCATATATTATTATCCAGGGTTACCTGGACAATTTTTGTCTGATTTTATAATGTTATTTGTATTTCTGTAGCACCTGCAGGTCTTTTTGTTGGACTCAGGCCATGCTTTTCTGAGTACAGTACAAAAGCACAAGAAAGGATACTATCATTGCTGAAAGTACCTAATATCTAAATTCAGAGAGAAAGGGTAGATTCAGTATGCAGACTGAGAAAAGAAGGGAAGAATAAGGCAACTCACAATAGTAAACAGCAGACATACCAAACTCAACTTGCTGTCTTGTTCATCTAAAAAAATTAGTAAACATCCATGTATTTATCTAATGTATGTTCTGTCTATACACTATTTGTACCACATTGCTATTCCTCATCCTTACAAACTCCTGTTCACAGTGAGGGAGAAATATTTTCTCCTCCTTAGAAGCAGACATTTATATCTTCTTGTACCTTTTAACTTGCCATTAAAAGTAAAACAGGAATGACTAAAAAAAAATCTTGGCTGTATATTGCAAGTACATTATTTACTTAGAAAGAACTGATTAAATGCTGGTATTATCCCTGCAGTAGTATGGCTAACAGAGCTTTGTAGGCCATAGATGCAATCAGGGAATTGTAACCTTTACCCTTCACAAATGAGATGAGAGCACACTCCCATCTCAGAAATGTCTTATTTAAATTGCTGCTCTCCCTCTCTTTACCGACAACGTTTTACTTGTCAGTGAACGGAAGACTTCTGGCCTCTAATTGTGTTTGCATACCTTTTATTTTATTTTACAAACCTGTGTTTTATGTGATTGCTTTTACAAACTTTCCCATGGATATTTACCTCCTCTTTTTTTCTCTCTCCCCTCTTCTCCACCCTTCCAAGTTGTTAGCCAAAATCTATAAAATGCCCTTGAAACCCATCTTCCTCAGTGGCCGGCTGGTTAACTTGCCCCGAAGAGCGCAGGAACAGTCAGCCAGCAGTGAGGATGGGATTGAGTGCATCCTCTCTGACTTTGATGATGACACTGGTAAGTGCATTGAAAGTAGTAAATCCAGAACTAATCAATTGTTTCTTCTATGTGTTGCTGCAAATTTTGCCAACTGCTGAAAGCAAGAAGGAGGGAAAACTTCATCGTTTTATTGTTTCTTTGTTGGTTACACACACCCACATGTGCACACAGAGCTTGGAAGTTCAGGTCCTGTCACCTTCTTTGTGTAAAAGATACAGTTCATATGTAAGAAAAATATAACCCCTCTCTTAGGGCAAGATAACAATATTTTGATTTTGATTATCCTGAAATTCGTAATACAGGCATTGTGTATTTCTGAGAGCTAACATAAAACTACTTTCTAGCCCACATCTGAAGTAAAGGAGGGAAAATCTTTTAGAGTTGGTATTGGCAGGCATGCCTTTAACAGAAAAAAATACCAGTATTGAGTTACAGTCTACAAAGATAAAGAATAATTGTTTAAATCTTTCCAAACTTAGGCCCTGTGGTCTATTGAAATAAACAGTGAATTTCTGAAGTCCATAAAAAGCACTATGACCTCCAGAAAACACAAGCAGCATTTGTCTCCTGATTATTTGTATGGTTTATATGGGTTGTGCATTAATCAGGTGTTGGATGAAGTAGAACATACAGAGCCAAGCAGTAGAGGACTGCAGCCTTATGGCTTCTGGGCTCAGGAGACCTTCACAACAGTACAGCTGGTGAACGGACAGAAGACTCTTCAGCTAATTAAAGTTGAAAAGTGACATGTTTATTCAGCACACTGGGCACACTGGGAGGTAGTCCTCCAAACACATTGCAAATTTCCAAAACTGTAGCTTCTCCATATATCTACAAAAGCTCTGCATATTCATAAAGACACGCAGACACCTATACATATGCAGCACCTGCTCCCACTTGGTATTACAATGAGCTGAATGTTCATTTCAGCTGCGCAGTCATCTTCTTGAATTGGGTCAGTGGCCTTCTGAAGATGAAGTAAGGGGTCTTCCTCATGGTAAATTGTTCACCTTTATCTGGTTGCCAGGACTTTGTGACCTCTTGGTCATGGTCCAAACTCCCTCTCCTGGGCCCAATCATTGTTAGAAGCCAGCTGTATTTGTTTGTTCCTACCCTTTTACAATTCTTCATATATTCCCTGTGATTTCTAAGAGTACAGCTAAGTCAAATACAGGATATATTGTCTTTTCTTCAATTATCCCCATCTGATAATAATTGCTCTTTTCCTAATCTCCTTGTTAAGCCCTTAATCAAAATATATGGCCTTGATCTTACTAGCTACATTTCTAACTTAACCCCTTGATTCATTCCCCTGTTTCTCTGCAATGTTAGTAAATTCTTTTACTGATACACAGATTCTTCTTCCTTTAACCAAGTCGTGATAAGAATCTCTTAAAAACCACACCTACATTTTTGATAATGAAGTTAAGTTTGCCAGTGATTGTATCATCCTCAAATTCTAAACAATCATTACAACAGACAAAATCAAACTTATGCTAACTAAAATCAATAAAACAATAATTGGGTGAACTAAAGCATTAAGTATACCCATTGGTTTTGGTGACCATCCAGAAAGTACATCCCACTAATGGTGAGACATATCTTCCTCTAACATTTTAAAGACCCTCCTTATGGTCTCTGTGTCATGATGTATTGTAATTCAGATCTTCTTTCCCATAATTTTAATTTCTTCAAGAATTTCCTTTAGATCTTCATGTTTTGATAAATGTTTGACTAAAGTTAAATTCATTCCTGTAGGTACAGGTGATATTTTTTGCACAGTAATCTAATTTGCCTTTAGATACTGATGTGATACAGCAGGTGCCTGATAGGAGAAATCACATCCTTCAATTCTGGCGAAGTTACAAATGCACAGATTAAATTGTGTTTCACTTATGGTGAGCTTGTCTACCTCTAAAGTGGAACATGCTATTTTGAGGCATGCACGACCTTGACTTGTATATACAAGCAGGGTTGTCTGGTTGACTGAATGAACCTCAAAGTGACAAATGCTTTGTTCTGTATCCAGACAAGTATCTTGATCATTATTCATATTTCCTTCATGTATAAATCCTAATTGTCTTCTCGTGGCACATGACTCTATATTAATAGTCTGCCACTTCCCTTCAACCTTCTGTGTCCATGTTGTGTGTTCAGAAGGATACAGTACAGTTCCTTCATGATTCAAACTTAAAGCAACTGTTGGGTATATTAAACCCTCTGATGCATTATGTATAGTCAAAACAAAAGCAGTACTACACTTGTGACAGGATCATAGGTAAAATTGACCAAAACCCACCAAGACTGAAGTTCTCCTTCTAAGTCAGAAGAATTAACCCAAACAATTTTGCAGATCTTAGCAGGAAAGGTGCCTTCTCCTCTTTCCTTTATAACTGAGGCAGCCACTGATTCCGTCCATAATTGTGCTTGTACACACCTAAGAACTAAAGAAATATTCTCAGTAGCTGTACCCAAGGTGTTGATTATCAATTCATGGTCCCATTCTTCTATATTTTCCCATTCTGGCAGTATCTTGGACACTTTCCACTGGGTGGTACCTAAAGCTAATAAAGGAGATTGTAAAGGCTGTTGTGACTTAATTGTGTCACTACCAGCTGCAGTTAATTTGTTCATTAATACCTCTGAATATGTTGTATTCAAAACCCCCAGTCCTGTTCTTAATAATCCAGTCAAATCTCTTTTTCATCTGAGCATATATAGTATACACTTCTGTAACCAAGTGGTCTCATCCATAAAAGAGGTCTTAAAAAATGGGGTACACTCCAGTTTAATGGCAGAAGCATTTACCTGCATTGCCATTTCTACTTGCTTCAGGGGCCATTTTGGATTAAGCAGTAGCCTTTGGATTCCAGTCTTTTTAATAGCATATGGTCCAATTTTGGTAATTATAGGTCAAATTATCTCTTTTAGGATCTGAATGAGTGTAGTCTGAGTATGGGCAGTCTGTCTTGGTAGAGGCTAATTGGTTGTTCTGGTTGTTCTAATTGTATACTTCCAAGGAACAACACAGACTTGAGTTATATTATAGTCAATTCTGTGGTTCTTGTCTGCACATCCTTCTATTCTGAGTCTGAATTCAGGACAGTTGCTTAAGCATTTGTCACAACATTCAGGGCTAATCCAGATGAGTTCCATTGGTTCTTGGTAGAATTCGTGGAACCCATCCTGAACAAACGCATATTCACATCCCCAGACATTTCTCCCTTCCCAAACAGATGCATTTGTGACTCTCAGCATTTTTGACAGAGCCTTACGGGAGTAAGAGTCATAAGCTTTTCCTCGACAAGTGTGTATATCAGTTGCATTGTACGTACGTGGTACTGCATTAACTTCAGTCATGGTCATAGCTATGATCATGAAGGCCACAAATTTCCAGATTGTACTTGCCATTCTCTGAAACAAAGTCATTTTAAATACAAACTGGATTAACTTTTCTTCTTACAATGTACTTAGTTTCCCAAGTAAGCTTTTATTTCAGTTCATTACCACCCGGTGTAACTTTCCAAACACCTTCTGGATCCTTTTTCACTTGGGTGTGGTGGATCCAGGCATTCTGTTCTTTGTCCTTGATTGCAGTAAAAGTGGTGAGAAGCACTTGGAATGGTCCTTCCACTGTGGCTCTGCAAAAGAGTTGACATATACTTAGTCTCCAGGCTGTATGTCATGTACTGATCCGCCTAATTCCCTGCTCCAAATCCCAGCCACATGCTTCTCAATTTCTGAGTTGTTTGTTTAAGGCCATCATGTAGCTGTGTAGGGTTTCTTCCCCTGGTGGGGTTGGTGTTTCCTCTTGTACCCCCTATGGCCTTCCATATAATATCTCAAAAAGGACTTAATTTTTCTTTTGTCCTTGGTTTAGTCTGGATTCGCAGTAATACTAACGGAAGAGCCTGGGGCCAAGGTAATTTTGCTTCTTGCCATAGCCTTATAATTTGTTACATGATTAAATGATTCATTTTTTCCACTTGGACACTTGACTGGGGACGATATGGAGTATGGAGTTCCCAATATATGCCCAATTGGCAGCTAATTTGCTGTACAATTTTTGAAATGAAGTGTGGCCCTCTATCTGAAGATATTGTGGCTGGGACTCCAAAGCGTGTTATACTGTTATCTCCTGTAACAGTACTTTAGTTACCTCTTGCACCTTGGCAGTTCTGGAAGTAAAGGCTTCCAGCCATTCTGAAAAGGTATCTGTCAGTACCAATAAATATCGATACCCCCTTCCCTGGGAAGTTCTGAAAAATCAGTTTGCCACTGTTGCCCAGGCCCATAGCCTCTTCCAATTTGTCCAAGTTTTGATTTGGGAATATTTTTGGGGTTAGTTTGGAGGCAAAAGACTACATTATTTGGTCACTTGAATAACTGTACCTTGTAAATTTCTGGCTACAATCCTATCTTTTAAATAATTATACAAAATGTCTATTCCCCAGTGGGTTTTCTGATGCTCCTCTTTTAATAGTGACCATAACAAATAGGAGAGGACTACACATTTTCCTTTCCCTTCTTGTGTTATGGCCCATCTTTCCTGATTGTATTTCCCATTCTCAGTCTCAATAAGTCTCTTGTTATACTTTGTTGTACTTTGTTATACTTCTTGTTATACTTTGGCTCACCTTCTAGAAAAATTTGTCCATCTGGAATTAAAGCTGAGTGGGATACACTCTGGTTTCACTCAGATATGCTCAGAGCTCACTTTCTGGTGTGCCTTGATGTGCATGATAGCTACTTTCAGAGAGCTTTCCTTTTTTAAGCCTGACCTCCACAGGGGTTGTGTTCCTTGCCCTTCCTGATACACTAGAAGCCCATACCCCAGGCAATACCTGATCCATTATTTTCTTGTTAACCTTTTCTTCATCTTCAGTACCGGTCTTATGAATTGTTTCATTAATTGTAATATTAAACTCAACATTTCTACATACTGTTGTTCTTTAACCTCCAAAATAACCTCCCCATTTTTAAATATTATTTTTATTTCTAGCTGCTCCAACAAATCC